CTTTCCCTAGGTCCAAGAAGAATGCTGATACTAAATACTACTGTGCTAAGTACTATAGAAAAATCTTCAAATAAATAAAATAAATACTTGCTTTAAAAACCCCCACATAGAAATAGTTCATTGGAGAAGTCCAAAATATCATGGCAGCAATACCTGAGGAAAGGACAGAATGAGTAATTCTGTCATGCTTGCAAGTACCATGTGAAAGACGGCTACAAATTATGATCTCCAGTACTTTACTCTTTCTAATACTGAGAGAGGATTCTGTGCTGTATCTCGAGGCTGCTCCACAGAATTCCCTGCTCTGGACTGCCTTTGACTTTCCTGGTTCTGCCTTGCCTGGGTGTCTAAGTCTCTGCAGTGTTGTGGCTGTGCCTGTGAAGCCAAAAAGCTTATGAGGTTTCATTCAGAAGCCCAGGACAGCTTCCAATACCTGTTTCCAACACCCTTGTGCTCTACTTGCAGTCCTTCTATTGTTTTAAGCTAATTTACCCTTGTAAAACTCCAAAGCAAGATAAGGGAGGATTTCTTTTTGAATGGATAATTAAAAGATAATAGAAACTTGGAAAGTAATAGAATAACTTGTGCTAATGTGTCTGAGATCTTATTTTCCAGGATTGGTGAAATGTTATTACCTTCTGGAAATTCTTCTTTCCGGTAAGTAATTCTTCTCCTCTTTTTCTTTAGTGTTCTTCTGTCTGTTTGAAACCACATAGATATATGGCTTTTCAAATATTACTTTAAGACTTCAAAACAAATTGGTTTAACATTTTCATATTAGAAAAACAACAGTACTCTAAGGTGTAGTCCTCCATACAGTTCAAGGAAATAAAATGCATTTTGTAAGAGTGAGTGAGCTCAAGAACAATTTCTTGTCACTGATGTTTCTCCTGCAAATTAACTTGAATCTGAAAGTCTTCATTTTAAAATCAAATGTTTATTTGCCATCTTAGCCATCTTTGTTCCCACTTGTAAAACTCCAGCTGTCTCTTCTGTTCTTGTCTTGAGGGACTTGTTTGTATTGCCTTTTGAAAAAGCCAACCTGAAATACATAATTTTGAAAACTGTTGTCAGCAAATCTTAGTTATCAAATCTAAACCATTAAAGATGAACTAAAATAAAATGCATATATATGCTATTTGCCCATTGCTTTGTTGTAACAAGTAATCAAGTGTTACTCATCAATCAAAAGACTGAGTTTGCTTTTTCTTTTACTTTTTGGGAGGCTTACTCCTGCAAGAAGTAAGGATATGTGGGCTTGTGAACTGTAACCGTCCACAGAATCCAGTATTTTTTAAAATGTGAAATAGTTATAAAAGTTTCCTGTTAAGTTTATTTCACTTTTATACTTCCCTGGGAAAAACGATGAACGGAAAAAGTCTGCAGGTAGATAGGTAGAGAAGTTAGCAATCTCTTGATTGCTTTTAAGCATTTATGTTGCAGTTTAAAATCTTAAACATTTTATTCTGGCATGAACCGATGTTGTAGTCTATTAGTCATCATGTGTCAAGTGGCATTCACTGTGGAGCACCATCCCACAAAAATGATCCACTTGATATCATTAAATTATGTAAATCAGTTGCAAACATGAGATGCCATATTAATCACAGGAAAGGGATTGTGGTGGTAAGTACCAGAAGATGTACTATATGCAGAAGATAAAATGAAAAACAGAGAAGTAGTTTGAAAAAACCCCACAACTTGCAGGAGGAATTATACCTCTTTAGAAAGGACAAATTGTAATAAAGTATTATTTATCCTTTAACCTGCATTAACAGCTCCAAAGATCCACCAACAGTGAATTCCTGACCTGAGAACAACCGAGAAATACTGTAAACTTACCTTCCATAATATAAATGAAAGAAGCATAAACAAGGCAACACCAACTATTAAGCCTGTTCCAATTATTAGCACAGTAACATGGTATTTGGGCTTTTGGTTGTGCACTCCTTCCAAATAGACCTGGAAAGCAGAAAATAAGGTTAGTTCTAACTGATGGGGTTTTTTCCCCTAAAAGATACTAAAACAACCTAGGAAAACGAAATTACATTCTTAAGTAATCAAGACTATATTCATTGCCTGTGCATAGATTTGAACAGAATTCTACAATTTCATCACAAATCCATTAAGAGAATTTCTTACATATGCAACTTGCTTGTCCTCGTGTAGTTCAATAACTTTTGCATTTTTTTCTGGTGAGGCTGTTGCTCTTACTTCAAACTTCAATGCTGATGCATCATCCTAATTAAAAAGGAAAAAAAAAAAGCTGTCTTTTATAAAATAACTTCAACACGTTAATTCCTACCCAGCAAAAATGGTAACACAGCTGCTCACAGAAACAGAATCTCACACAAACACACAATGGTGCCTTTTTCTGATCACAAAACAAATTAGTACCAGAAACTGGAATGACGCCCAGTTGGATTTTACTTAAATCCACATCCATGCTGCTTTTCTTAGAAAAGTACAATTATGGGTTGAAGTTAAATCCCAATCCTACATAAACCCAGCCAGAATGGGTAAAGTAATACAGACTAAAAAATAAAGCGATAATCTAAAATACATATTTTTCAGTGGTTTTCATTTTTCATATATCACCTTTGGGTTTAGCATTGAAAACATAATAGATCAACACCTAACAGATTTGGATTTAATCATACTGTTTGCAAAAATATATGTTAACACCTAGAATTTATATATAGAGAATACTGAAAGTAAGCCTTGAAATATTCCCCTGAAGTATGAGAAGTTACCATTTCTAAAAGTGAAGGAGTAGCCTCCAGATGCAACTGAACAGTTGCTTCTTTTCCACTTTCCATGTTTCCAAGCTTGCAATATATTTGTAAGCAAAAGTTGTCATTTTTCATGCAGTACTGTAGAAGGGAGGGAAAAAGTAAAGCTTTCAGTTTGTCAGCATTTATCATCTTAGTATTAAAGGCACTCAGGAACTGAGTAAAACAAAAAGATCCATGTTTGTTCCTGGAAAGTCAGGGTGGTTGTCATCCACTACTGCCAACCCATAGGTGCTGAAGGAACAGTACAAGGGACTAACCTAATTGTTACTGAACAATTTCATTTTTCTTAAGAATACAAAACTTTTTAGGCTGAAAAAGAATAACTGTCATAATTTGGTTGTATGTGGGATTTTTTTACCCTGTCAAATTAGCTTTTATCAAGAAGAATAAATGACAATGACTATATTGTAGCCAGTATAAATAGTGTAACTGATTGTACACTGTCAGCTAGCAGCATTTCTCTCAAGTCTGGAGTAAACAAAAAAGCAAGCCTGTACATGAATATATTCCCTGTCGAAGACTGCACTGCCTGACTTCTGATTTGATATTCTCATGCAGGCTGTCTTAATCATTGGTTGATGTTCCTTGTACTGTGCTTACTTGAAGTCACAAATTAACATTTTAAGGTGTCCAGCTTCTAAGATGAAAGTATTACACAAAATTGTATTTCATCAAATACGAATTGCAGAACACAGATGTCTATGAGAATAAATCCTCAAAATCTAACACTAGAATACCAGTTCCGGTTTGGGCTACCACACAGTCAAGTATCAGATCTCCAGAAGGGTCCATAAGCAGGGACAGAGGGATGAGGGTGGATAGGGCAGGCATGTACAATTTTCTTCCAGCCTCCTGAATAGTTTTATTAAGAATGTTCCAAGCCAAAAAATATTTCCTCATATTGTTAAATTCTTAATGACTTTCAGTTCCATTTACTTTTATAGTCTCCCTTGGAATTCACTTACTGGCATTCACAGCATCCTTCAGTAAGAAGTTCCACCATGAGTACTACTTTTGCCTTCTTTTGTGGGTGTTTTTTTGGTTGTTTTTTTTTTAAAGTAATTTGGCTCCTATGTTTGACAGTTGATGGCACATTTTTGGTGTGAAGAAGCCAATGAATATTTGATTATATGTAATTAAAATTAAGACTCTCTTTTCCCCCCATGCATCATTTTTGATCTGTTACTGAATTTCATCTGCCATTCTGTTTGCCCACTCATTCTGTTGCATAAGCCTTTGGAAGCTCTTTGTAGGTGACTGTCATCTACACTGACTTCAGTGATGTGTCATTAATCAACTCTGTCATCTCAGCTCTCACCTCTTCCACTAAAGTCACTTATGACTATGCTGAACTTAACCCAGGTCCCACCACAAATCCTTGGAAGACTGCTCTGGTGACCTCATTATATAAGATATACTGTTGTCTTAAGGTTCATTCATACAGTCACTTATTTCCCACTGATGCTAAAAGAGAGAGCTTACCATTTGTCTCTTAGCAGGCTTTGAAAAGAAAGTGACAACATCCTTCAGTATGTTTTCATTTTTTTCTGCCGCGCTACAGTGTCTGGGATATTTATTATAGGAGCACTCTCCAACTGTTGTCTGGAAATAAAATCATCATCATTACCGTTAGAAGATAAACATCAGATACTAATCAGAATACGTTTCTGAAAGGCCAGAAGCTCAAAAGGAATGTAAATTCTACTTTCAGAATTATAAAACACATAGGGCTGAAGAGTATCCTGTTCCTGTTCACTTCACTTCACCGTAGCTAACAACCTGTGCCCATATTAGTAGCTAGTTCTGCTGTGCTCTCCTTCTCTTTTTCATAGAATTCATATGGCTAATAAAATTATATCAAGTAACCTGTGCTTACCTTGATATCCAGTGTGTTGAATAATCTGAAGTTATTGGGTGGAAAAGCATTAGGTATCATTATTTCTAAGGTTGTATTTGGAGCCATGCTTGGTCCTGCACTGATAACCTTGGAGGGGGAGAAAGTTACAAAGAGAATAAATACATAAAACCTCACGGAATGGGGTAGCATCTTCATTGCTGTGGTATCATGGAAGTGGATTCTGCTAGGAGTTGTAACATTTTGCTTAATTCATTGTGTAGGCTTCCTGAACCTTTCACTCCTCTGCACCCAATTAGTAAGCAGTGCTAATCTGTGACGGCTACCCTGAGGTCATACAGACTGCCTTCCAGGAGAATATGCAACAGGAACTAGAAGAGATTAATGTCTAACTCCTTCTTTTAAGCCATTAGAGACAAATCTGATACCTTACAGATCCTCTTATAAGGAGCTCCTAGTTCCTTTTCCTTGCCATAATATAATTCTTTTAAAGCGTTCCATAATGGAAGAAGTGGCAAGTCAGAACTGCTCTAGGACTTTCAATCCTGATTCTGCTAAGTATTTTTTCTCTGACCATTCAGTGGAAGATCGTCCGGACCAAAAAAAGTGTTTAAAGAGGGAGTAACAGCTACTTCCCATCACTGATGTACAAAAGTTGCTCATCATGCCCTCGTACTCTTCAAAACTTTCCTTACTGACTGCAAGACTGGCGTTAGATACACTGGAAATCTAAGTATTAACCTTCAAAACAAGGATAAGAGGGTTGACAAGGGAAAACTCTTACATGGAATGTGAAGTTGATACTCTCCTTCAGACATGTAACTGGGGAATCTTTCTCATCTGTTCCATAAATAAACGAAGCTGGTGATACAAATCTACAACAGTTTAGAAGTTGTAATTAACAGGATTGCTATATATGTCATTAGCTTAACTTTCTGCTCCATGCTATGTCCAGTAAGATCAGTTCTAAGGAAATATACAAGTTTGCACTTAAGTAAGTCTAGGAACCTCTGTACTTTTTCCTCTTAAAAGGAAAAAAAAAAAAAAAATAAAAGGCAGAAAAAGTCATAAATCCTCATCCAAAACCATACCCTACAACACACCCAGAATATGGTCCATGTTAAGCAAGGAATCTGAGGATCTGCTGTGCTCTTATTAAATACCTTTCAACAAAAGAAATAGTCCAGTTCTTAAAAAAATCCTGGTCTGTTAAGAGACAAGATCAAAGCACCGCAGATATCACTGGTGTAATCACAGCAGTGGAAAGAAGATTTTAGTAGTGTATAGGTCAGGCCCCAGGACAGCTGTGCCAATTCATTCCCAGGAATTTTCAGCTGCACCACACTTCTGCTTAAAAGCTTTATACAAAGTACCAAGACAACAGTTCTATGGATGTGCAGGTATAGCAAAAGCTGACTTACCCATGAGCATTTAACTCAGTCTCATATTTTAGAGGTACAGCTAAAGTTAGTGTGTTATCCAGCAACATGCTCCCATCTTCATTTTTACTACAAAAATGGAATAAGAGAAAAATTAATATATCAAGTGCAGCATCATACGCTACACATTACTTCTATAAACAAATATTAAACAGAGTTTCAGCTTATTAAATCAAAAAATATTTTTTTTAAAAAGTAAGATTTTGTACAGGCAGAAACCTGCCCATTATTTAAATATCTATCATCTGGGTTTTTTTGCAATTTTCCCCTTCTCTACAAATTTGCAACCCCTGTGCTTTACTGCAGTTGTTCTTTGCTAAGTCTTTCCAATGTTCCCTGCTCTGTTTTCCAAAGCTAGTAGTATTTTTCATTAAGCATTTTTCATTGGACTTTACCAGGTAGCATTTACGATGATGTTGAGGTCATCTTCTGCTCTGGCAAACGAACTTGCATCCAGGAGAAAGCTAAAATCCAGCTGTAGAACAAATAATATTTTCTTTATATCAAATGATAGTGTGTCTTAACATCGTTTAAATAAAAACATCTTATTGAACTAATTTAGAATTTCCTGCTCGAAAAACCCCTCAGAACTAAGAAAATACTTGCTTTTTGTGTCTTCTACTCTTTTTCTACTGACCTAATACATCTGTTCACAGCCTTGGCTCACTTGTCTAGGGAGCCAAGCACAATCAGTTGATGCATAATGCAAACAATGTTGTCCCTTAATGAATTACTCCAGAAAGTGTTTAGGCAACTGATTTTAAAAGTAGCAAACAGCTTTGGATACCAACATAATAAAAGACATTAGTAGGAATGAAGGAGAGATTCTGAGAAACAAGGGGTTTTTTCCCCTTCTGAAAATCCTCATAATGTATTTAGGGTGTTTTTAAAGCTGTGAACTTCATACATAGCCATACATAGCCTACCTTTGATTTTTGATCTACATATAAACAACCAACGCTGCACTCAAGTTTCACTGTATGAATTTCTTTATCTAATACGTCACAATATATCTGTTCTTCTTCCTAAAACAAAGGATAAATTATTAATGATTAAAATAAAACTGCTTTTTCCACACATTTCACAATACATGCACACGCTGAAATTGTGTGGCTTATACTTCCCTGAACTAGGTTATTTCAGTTTGTTATTTCACTGATGCAAATGTACAAAGCATTCATATTATGACTGCTTTAATGTATTCTTATATTTATTACTGTATCCTGTTACTTCATCTTCTGTTTGCTAATAGTGAAGATAAGGCATATACATTACACCTGGATCCACTCAAGTTTAAAGCCAACCTCCTAAAGGTGTCGGGGGGATTCTACACAGAAAGCAGTTATTTTAAAAAGATAGAAAGAGAGAACAATTAGATTTGTGACTTCTTCATAAGACTGTATCTGTGAAAGAGAATGGATTCAATGAGATCTTTGTGATCGCTGGAAGCATGATCATCACAAAAAAAAAAAAAAAGAGTACCTGTAACATAGAATCACAGAATGGTTAGGGTTGGAAAGGACCTTAAGATCCTGAAATACTTTTAGAAACCTCTTTATATTTTTTTTTTTCTTAATTTTAGTTGTTACCATCACATCCGGTTAAGTCACCTGTATTGATTAAGTTGCACGTGGTTTAGGTAGCTAGAAGTCTCAGAACTTAAAAAATGGAGTTTTGCCAGTTTTTTCTGGGGAGAGAGAGTGTGCGTAGGTTGTCAGTATCTAAAGAAACTCAACAAGCCATTAACATAATTTGAAAACTGTCTAGGTGAAAAAGGAAAATACCAAAGGATTACTGTTTGACAAATTTTTTTTTGTTCTTACCAATTCTAAAATTCGGATGAAATAAAGACCTTTAGGGATTTGAATGTGGAGGACAGTTTCATACGCATCATCTCCAGCATTGAGCAGAGAAATGTTCAACAACAACGTCTTCATACTTCCAACAGCAAGATAAGTTTTCTTATCATGAGGCCTATAAAGAATTTAATTATAATGTAAGTGAAAAGTAATTCTATATACAGCTTGTATGCAAAAATTTTCCTCTACTGCTCTTTCAGTTAATTTCATTTAGTTCTGACAAATTCAGCTGGAGATCACTGGGAAAGTTTTTACTCAATCCTGTAACTGAAGGTACTACACATGCCAGTCAGCTCCAGCACTGCCCTTTTTAAAGCTTGAGATTATTAATGCAAGAGAAAGAAAACTGTTGTCAGACCAGTTGTGCTTTGGCTTTTACAAGATAGGTCCTTTCCTTCACAATTAAGAACAATAATTTGCTACTGCTACAGTATTTTCAAACATTATTTTCAAATTCACTCTTTGTACTCAAAGTATTGACTGAAGTACTGCGAAGCAAGTCACAAAAAGGGCAAATGAACATGCCTATCTTATGATCTACGTAGTGTTCTATAATCACGTTACGACTACAGACACCCTGTGGGGGGCTAAAAGTAAACTTCAGCTTGACATTAAAGTTTAATTAAGACTTGTAGAAAGGCTGCCTAGAAAGAGACATTTATCAGATATTTTGGCTGGAAACCAAAGCATTAGTCACTGAACACCTTTGGGAAAGAAGCTGGCACTCAGAAAAGCAACAGAAGGTAAAAGCACTGCATAAGCAGATAGGTTCCTAGACAAAAGCGAATTAAAGAAAAACACAACGTTAACATTTCAGTAGCTTGATTAGGTTTAGGTTAAATTTTAAAGTTCTCTGACTAGTTACATGCTTACCGTTCAGTCCTTTTCCATTCAAGCTAAGCTCATTAACAAGCTGCTGTCACAAAGATGCCTCCCAGCTTAACACACAAATATACAAAAGCACCAGGTGCACATCTGGGACTACAACAAAGATGAACTACAGCTTTTCCCTGGTAATCATATTTCATTCTTCATTAAAAAATGCATGATGCGGACTGGAAATTTAAAGAGCAGGCCAAAATCTAAGCAATTTAAACAAAACATGATAATGTATACACAAAGACTCAACTCAGTAAGTAAAGCACTACTTTAACACCCCTATTTGATTTCATTCTTTTAAGACTAGAAGTGCTTTGCTGTTCAAAGATAATGAATGCATCCTGTCTAGACAAAATAAATTAATGCTTCACAGCTAACTAGTTTTTAATCGAGATTCTAGGGGCCTAATGTAATTTAAGGTGATACTTCACACTTTATCAAGATATTTAGCCTGTTTACTTACACTAAAAATCTGCTGCTGATAACCTAATGCCAAGCAGGTATGTCGTAATCCGTTTTCCTTTCTTGGAGCTTTGAAGTCCTTACACAATTGCATCGCTAATGGCATGAATGGAAATGCTGCCCAATCTTTCTGAAAAGTTTATGATTGTTCAAATAAAATAACCTTCAAGCCCAAGAAAATAAAAGGGCTTCAGACTCATGCTACAGGCCAGGTGTTAAAGTAGGCAGAAAGATAGTAATCTTATTCCGAAATCTGTGAAGATGAAAAAGCTTGGGCTTAGGATCACACAGGTGTGATTAATCAGCATTACAGGATTGTCATCATCTTTGGTGTCATTTTAGGTTGTTCAATGTAGTATCTTGATTAAAGTAGAATCAACTTTAAAGGTAATAAATTACACAAGAAAATCCAGGTCACACGCAAAATACCTGGCGAGCTGAGCTTCACAACAGGTACCATTTCTCTTTCTGCACACAACCAACCCATATTTCTTGCTTTGAAGTATAATATTCAATGAAGAAAAAGGTGGTGATGATAAAATATAACTTAAGATCAAACAATTAAAATTCATTCTGAATAGAAATGATGGTACATGGTGTAAAACTTTTGAAAGATGATGCTAAATAGAACTATATCTCAAAAAGTATTGCTTGGTGTAATACAGATTCTGCAAGACAATAATAACTGTATTTAAATACTTTGAAAGTGCACTAATTATCTTGCATAATACAGGATTTAAATATGATACCTAATTGGAAGGAATGGGAAAAGTGAAACACACTAAAGGGTATGTCAAAAAAAAATAGGGGTGTAAATAAAAAAAAATCACAAAAAAATCACAAAACAAAATTAATGTAGGAA